AAGTCTCAGTAACTAAGCCGTACCGCCTTTGGAAGTCTTTTTATAGGACCTCAGTTACTTCAATCTAATTCAGTACAAGCCATCTGCCCTGACCTTTGATGGACAATTGTAAAATATCCGCGTAAAACAGTAGGTATAGCGGATCACGCGCCGCCTATTAATCCAGTTGACAGCGCTGACCGTTTTTCTATCCAAGACGTATATTTCAGGGACGTCTTACTAATTGTACGTCTAAATAAATACACAAGATGAAAACAACCTTTCTCTTAGTGGATTGAGAGAAAACTTGGGAATCTTGAATCTTGATGCTCTTTATGATCTCAAATGTATTACGCAATGCAACTCTGTTATGTATTATTCACCTTCTTAGAAAAATACGATTAATGAAGTATTTAACAAATTTTAAATGATTAAGCAAGTGTTAGAAATTGAAAGTGGATATAAAAAGAAAAGTGAGAGAGTTTTAAAATGGCCTGCACTTTTTTTCGGTGAAATTTCCATGAAATGGACGAACAGCTTACTACGAACGGAACACGCAAAGCAATGATTGAAAACATTTAAAAGGCTCTATTTCTTTGCGAAAATGGCGGTGTTTAATTTACAGAGGCAGTGTAATAATCATACATTAGAGGAAATATGAAAATAAGGCGCATGTAAAGCTCAGTCGAACTAAACAGTTATTACGCGTTCGAAAGGCCAACAAAACAGAATTTAGATTAAGGAACAGATTTTTTCGTAAAGACATCTGCTTTTAAAATCTATGACCTACACCAAAAATCGCGGCCATTTTTGATACTAAAAAAATCCTTCGTGGTTCTCCATATTGGATTGTCTCCTCGATTCCAGCAAAAGGTCCTGCTGCTGCAAAATCTTACCCTCTCTACTAACGCGTAGGTTTCGTCTTAATATTCCAGATTTAAAGTCCTTAGTCAGTCTGTCTCTGTAGGAGTTCAGTGGTAATCGTGTTTGATATATATGTTTCCGCTCAGTTGGATAAGTCCAAGGGCTAGTTTGGAATTAACGATAACATAAGACAACATCCTTTAAAGCCGATAAGCAACAATTAAAAAGCCGTCTGTTAATCTGCAGTATGAACGAAATAACTTGAGATATGTTCCATTTGTAATAATTTAATGATCTTAGCAGATCGAACTTATAATCCTGTCTAACTTACTATCTTACCCTGTCTCACAAGGCGTGTTGTATTCTATCACATCATTCGAACAATTAGTTACTATACCAATTTACTCGTCACGTCTGATTTTTCTTCGTTTCATTTTTCATTAGTATGAAATATTGCTCTTTACCAAGGCACCTCTAAATTACGTTACACTTTAGATTTCACGCCGGCAACCTGGTATATACTTCATGGGACAGGGACATCTCGCATTTGTTCCATCCACTTTATGCTTGACAGAGTGTGTTTAAAGTATTGACTATCGTAGGCATCTGCTGTTTTATATGTTGGCTTAAATAAACCTTCCACTATCACGACAGTTTTTTTTTTTCATTATATGTCATGGTATGACGATTACGTTCTTAAAACAAATTAATTACCTCGACTTATCTTCCGATGATACCGTGTTCGCGAAAAATACTGTTAATCGTACTAGAGCAGGTTAGAAAGTTCGCAGAACTAATCTTATGTCTACATACATATGGGTGTTGGTTTCCTTTTAGGGAAACTCCTAAAGGAGTCACGGTCTTTCTTAATTTAACCTCGATAAAACAGAGCTTACCTCATTGAATTTACCCTGGAGCCACCGGCCGATCCG